CTTTTTTTGAAACATTTCCAAATGTTTTGGTAGACGACGAGGAAGGAATTGTGATAGCATACGTTCCTTTAGAGATGACAGAAGTTAGTAGTTCTCTTGTGCCAACATAACATGAACATAAATAAAATTGTCAAATTTTGTATAGAAAGAACAGGAACCACTTCTATTCTCTTTTCTTAAGTATAAGTAAGGGACCAATAGCAGGTTAGTGAGCACCACAACAATCCACCTACTTTGATAACATAAAATCATTTTGGGATTTTAATGTAAAAACACCTGCGCAGAAATTGGAGCCCAAGGACGCCTTCTGTGTCCAAGGGTCACAGACCTGTCATAGACTCTATTTAATAAGTGGAACCCATTAGCGATCTGCTCTCCAATTGGGTATTAAGGGTCAGAGAAGGGCAATCACTTGTTCTAAAACCAGATCTTGTACTAAACGAATGAAAATTGACAACAACAAAAAAGCATAACTTAGAAAAAGATGTTCTAGAAGGTAAGCGGAGTTTTTCTTGACAGAAAGATAATGAGATGGCTCCCTGTGCTCTGATTATTTCTTTGGAATAGAATGATAGAGTTACGTTCATCCGGACATGGATTATCTGCACCCGAGCTCAAATAGACCCGCATGAACAGCAAAATCTAAAAAGATAGTAAAAAAGTTGAAAAAAAATTCTTAACTTCTTTGTGGATGAACATCAACAAAATATTCTATCGTCCTGCAAAATTTCATCTTGACAAGACATCGTGGAGGCCTGTACAAAAAAATACAACATTTGGGACCCAAAACGACACATTTTGGAACACTCTTTTTGTTTTTTTTGGCACACACCTCTATGGATGTATTTTTGTGGTGAAATTTTGCATGATGTTACAAAACTTGTTGATGTTCATCCCTCAAAATAATCAGATTTTTATGATTTTGTTTACTACTGTTTCGGAATTTATTGTTCATAAGGGTGCATTTGACCTTGGGATTAGAGTAATACTTTCGCGTTCATCCTATGTACCTAACCAATTGTTCTTCACTGACTCTATTTATTGCAACATGTATATATGCCATATCATGCTGGAGCATGTTGTACGCTACACTAGCACAAAATAAAAATTCACGACTCTAGTCGATAGGTGTCCGCGGCTCATATGTGTCCTGTGTGCACAAAGTCATATTGACGAAAACCATGTGTCATATGCACCACTTTGTTTGCCTCATGACATATGCTGTCGAACTCAAGACGAGTACTTGTCACCAGTGGCGGAGCTTGGTGGGGGCTAACCTGGGCCATGGCCCCCCCAGCTCATAAGAAATTTTTTGTATATAGCTTAGTATTGGGCCTGATTGTCCCCTAAAAATCACCTCAAAACAATTACGTTTGCCCCTCCAATCCATGCCCCCCCCCCCCATGATTCCGTCTCAAGCTCCGCCACTGCCACTGCTTGTCACCTTTGTTGGTAGCTCGACCACTCTTTTTAAAACCGTGATACAGACTTCCAAAAACGGGTGAACACTTAACCGAAGTCGCATGACCATGCTTCCGAATTTAATCAGTCGAGAGGGCCCAGATAATATCTCTCCGTATTGGGCGAGCAAATCTCATCTTGTCTGACCATGTCTTTCGACATATTTTACGACTAACCTGGAAACTACCTTTATAACTATCCGGTTACGGAATAGCCTTGATAGATCGTAAGTAAGGCGATTCACATTTTAAGTACGTAAGAAGACCTCAAGTCTACGACATGCAATATATATTTTACTTGAGACTATAGATGACAATATCTCGTTATGTCTCAAAGTAAATTTGTTGGGCTTGACTTTCCTTATCCCAGGCCATACAATCGGCTCAACATATTTATGTTGATGACT